TCTTTCATTTAACACACAACAAGACAAAACAACAGATTTGCTTTTTATTTTTTTTTTTGTAAGAAGATGTAAAAAATACTGAGGTGTATATGAGCAAATACAATGAAAAAAAAGAAATCTTTAAATAATAGAAGTGAAAATTATGCTGATAAATATAAGAAATGTTAAACATGGAGTTATCCGTGATGTTTTTGACATTTCTATTTGATATTGATCGTTAAGAATAGATGTTGTATGGGAAGACGAATCAGGATTATAAGGATAATAATGTTGTTTTATATAATAATGACTTTGTTGTTTATTTTTACGATTTTTTTCTCGATGACGAGTATGGAAGGAATTGTGGAGATTTGTTGAACGGGAACGAGCATTATTATTATTTGTTTCATCGGATGGATGAAGATGAACATTTGCAGCAACGATTTTAGACGAAACTGTTGTTGATAATTGATGAGAAGGATTTATCTGAGTACCATAAAATATCAAAGACCAATTAAGAAAAATAACTAAAATCAAAAAAACAAAATGTTAGAATTGAGAAGTTAATATTTATTCTATCTACTAACCATTGTTTTCGACGTCAACTATTTCTAATGTCCAGATTCCACGTGGTGATTCTCCCCAGTTATGTACAGTCATAAAGGGCCAACTATTAAATCCATCGGGTGAATCATCTTCAACTCTTCGACCAAGTAATGTTGAATTTGTACCCATTGGTGAAGTTAAAAATATTTGTAAATTTCCTTTTGAATGAAAATTAAATAATTTATCAATAAAAAAAAATTTAATTTTATATTTACCACGATATTTTACTTTAACAGATACTTTTGATTGCACATGTTCAAGAAAATTAATTTCATTTTCTGTATTCATACAAGCATCTGTATACATTTGTATAATAACACGTTCATATTTTTTAAATGTTCTAGAAATATTTGCATATGTATATCATGTGTTTTTCTCTTATTCAAAATAATATTTTACCTTGCAATTATATTTGGATCATTCTGTTGACAAATATGTTGAGGAGGAACTGTTCGCCACTTTTGTGCCTGAAAGAAAATTAAACTGTAAACAGAATATTTCTAAATAGATTATTTTACTTTTAAAACAATTTGCGCAGCATCCATCATTCCAAAACCAAAGGCATGACTAACACGCTTACCAACTCCATTCGTTTTCCAATCTAATGCATTTAAATATTTTGGTTTAGCTGTTTCAACAATTAAATGTTGAACATCACGCCATGTTAAATTACGATTAGCTTCAATTGCTAATGCAATTATACCAGCAGCCATAGGAGCAGAAGCAGATGTTCCTTAATAAGGTAAATTTTCATTATTTTCTTTTTTCTTTTTGTTAAGAAAATTTACCTGTATGATTTTCTGTACATTGACTTCGAAGATCAGTTGATACAACTTGTTTTTCATCAGATGCACCACTACTATATGTTGTTGCTAATGTTGATGAACAAGATTCTGAATACCAAGGTATATTTCCATTTTCAGTTGCACTTGAAATTGACACCGTATATATAGAATTTGTATAACCATCACAATTACAATTATCATCATCTTTACCACCATTTCCTGATGCCCAAACATAGATTGAACCAAGACCTTGACGACCCTATATAGAATAAATTATTAGAAATAAAAATTTTCTTATTATAGAATTTTTACATATTTTATGCCATTTTCAAATGCTGCCTGAGCTAATGTAGCTGGTCCATCTACTGTTTTTCCATCGTCGTCTGGTCCCCTACATACATTTTTATTATTAATAATTTAAATTGTTAAAACAAAATATTCTTACCAACTAGCTGAATAAATATCGATAAAATCTGGACGAAAACTTAATGCCATGGATTCAACTAAATCAGTAACTTCACCATCTAGAAGTCGGATACCGCCAATCCGTGCATTAAATGCCACTCCAACATTACAAATATTATTGTTTGCTGCAGCAGCTATAGATAAAATTATTCATTTAATCAAATCTGAATTTCAAATCGAACATACCAACTTCACCAGCACATCTTGTTCCATGTCTATGAATAAAAATAAACACTCATATATCGTATCATTAATCATAAAAAAAAAAGAATGCTAATAATTCATGCATACAGCAAAATAAGAAAAAAAAGAAAACCATTCTCATTTTTAGACATGCTGATATACATATACAAACAAACTTATTATATTCTGTCAAAAACAAATCCTCTCTGTATACTTATTATCATTAGTTGCTGTCATTCTCGGTTGTGGATCGCTGTCATTTCCATTGATATCATAACTAGCACGCGGTTCCTACAAACAATATTAATACTGATTAACTCTCATCGACACTTATTGTTTTTTAACAAATTCTTTTTGTCTATATAAATGTTCG